GACACAAGGAATTCTTGTTGGGTCTGTTGGGTCAGGACAGATCTGGTGGCCTGAGACCAGGAGTGCCACGTTGCATCAGAGGGGAAGGTTTGGGGCACATTATTTAGACTGGTGTTCTTACTGGGATTTAAGGAAATGTATGAGCTGTCCTTGTCTGGCAGGGGGATGACCTGTCAGGGCTTTGCTGTCCTCCAAGTGCCTTCCTAGGCATGATGGGGCTGTCCCAACCTGCACACCCCATGAGCTCAGTCCTTGTCTGAGGTACAGACAATTTGGCTATCTCCTTGTGATGAGCCAGAGCTGGGGCTTTGCCCTTTTCAAATCTGCTCTCAGGAACACTCCTTAAAAAGGAGCACAAATTAAACTTAATTTGATGTCCTTAAAAATAGCATCTCAGCCAGTGCTGGCTCGGAAGGAGGGCAGATTATTTGCTTGATATTCAGCACCATTTCATCTGGTCTCTGTGCTATTAAGCCTCTTAAATTTTTCAGGCTCAGGCTGTCTCCTGGATGCTGTGAGGACTGTGGGGGAAGTTTCCCTCATGCCATGTTGGGAATAAGACCCTTTGCTCCTCTCTGGAGTGCCTGTCTCTGGTGTCATTGCACTAGATGGAGTGACCCCAATGCATCAGCAGAATATGGGCAACTTTGCTGTAGATCTTGCTGGTGTGAGTTTTTTTCATCCATGGTTTGTTTTTGACCAAAAGTATGAAACACAAGATCTATTCCCCTCCCCCACATCTAATGCCACTTATCAGGGTATTCACCCATCAGTGGGGGATGCTGTTGTTAGTCACAGGCCTTTATTACAGGCCCTGCAATCACTTCTTTTATAATAACCTGCAAGTGTTCTTCAGCTTTATGAAAATTTCAGCAAAACCTGTCAGCTGAAAGCAGCGGTTTATGGATGAAAACCTTCACCCCCATTGCAGTGTTTCACCTCTCAGGGTGGGACCACAATAGGGTAATTGCACATCACCTTGTTAGAAGGTACAATGGTGGATAAATATACTCTGGGACTTGGAACCGCATCAAGGGGATCCTGTCTACATAATGAAGTATTAGTGCATATGCAGAGGGTTTGTCACTAATGTTTTTGCTTCACAGTATGGATTTTTGGTTTTTAATCTTTAATGTGTGCTTGGGGAGGAGGTGGTTGGGTACATGCTGCAGCACTTTCGCTAATGAAGGTTGTGTGAGACCCTTGTCACTGTCCAGAGAAAAGGACCAGATAGGGTTGAAATGGGAAGCAGGAGTGGAAGAGAGGACTTTTGACCTGAGATTGGAGTGTTAAGGACTAAACCTGTCTTGTGAAAGCAAATGAGAAAACCCCTAGTTCTTAAAAACAAGCTTTAGGATATAGAATCATAGAATCACAGAATAGTTTGGGTTGGAAGGACTTTAAAGCTCATACAGTTCCACCCCCTGCCCTGGGCAGGGACACCTTCCACCAGCCCAGGCTGCTCCAAGCCCCATCCAACCTGGGCTGGACCACTCCCAGGGATGGAGCAGCCACAGCTTCTCCAGGCAACCTGTGCCAGTGCCTCAGCACCCTCACAGCCAGGAATTCGTCCCCAGTATCCCATCTGTCCCTGCCCTCTGGCACTGGGAAGCCATTCCCCTTGTCCTGTCCCTCCAGACCCTTGTCCAAAGTCCTTCTCCAGGAGGGAGATGTTTATTTTTGGAGTTTTTTAAACAGCTTTGAAATCTCATGAGTGGAAGGTGTTGTAGAAATATTAAGGTTGAAGGCACCTTCTGGAGCTTATTTGGTCCTACCTCCAGTTATGTCCTTAGTCTGCCCAGGAAGCTTTATAATCAACATGGACTGTGACCTATGTCCTCTGCTAAGTGTCCATGGAGTCCTTGAAGAGCCCGTGTCCTGTTTCCTGCACTGGAGTATCACCTGCCCAGAGCTTTTAGGAACTCTTGATTTTGCTTTGGCCTAAAAAAATGCAAGAGGAACAGCAAGAGGTCATGTCTCATGCACAGAAATGACCTTGGCCAGAACCTAAGACCACCATGGTGGCGTGACACTGATGTACTCTAGTGCAAATTGGTGAGCCTGAAGAGGTGGCGAAGGGGAAAAGGGCATCCAGGGCAACCTCCCTGCTAGTGAGCTGTGAGGTGTGAATGGAATCATTATGAGGCCAAAGCAGGTGGTGATAAATAATTTGATATAAGAACAGAGCTCTTGATGAGAGCAAGCTGATGAATCTAGGTGACTGTAGAGCCTATCAGAAAAAAATTAGTTTGGAGGATGTCTTCTGCAAAACCAGTTGTGGGAAGATTGTTTGGATGTCTGGAATGGATTTAGGGTATGGTTGCACTTGCTGTGGGGGGAATTACTTTGGTGGAGGAGACAACAGGCTCCTTAGGAAGACTTTGAAGTCTTCAAGGTCTGAGAGAACAAGTGAAAAGACTCTCAGTCTCTGGAGAGGAGCAGCCAGTTGGGGTTGGTTTTTCAAGAGACTTAAATTATCCTCTGAATAGACTAAAAGCTCTGTAAGAAATGCGATCAAGTGTCTCTGTCAAAGCTGGATGACCTGCCCAGCTTTTCAGGCTGAAACTACTTGCCCTGTGGAAGTGCTGCATGTCTTCTATATGCTTTCCAAGTGCCTTGGACAATGCTCTCAGACACATAGTAGGATTGTGGGGGGTGACCTGTGCAGGGCGAGGTGTTGCACTCAGTTATTCTTGCCTGTCCTTTCCAAGGCAGGATAGTCTGTGATTCTATTTGTGAGTAGAATCACGAAATCACAGAAACACAGAGTCAGTCAGGTTGGAAGGGACCACAGTGGGTCATCTGGTCCAACCTCCTGCTCAGGCAGGGTCAGTCCAGAGCACATAGCACAGGGTTGTGTCCAGACAGCTCTTGAACACCTCTAGTGAGGGAGAATCTATGACCTCTCTCAGCAATCTGTTCCAGTGCTCAGTGACTCAGATGGTGAAGAAGTTCCTCCTGGTATTCTGTGCATCAGGTTTTGCTGTTACCTCTTCTTTTATTGGTTTCCACCACTGAGAAGAGCCTGATCCATCCTCTTGGCACCCCCTTTAGATACGTAAATACATAAGTATATAATGACTGAGTACAGTCAGAGGTTGCTGTGGATGCCCAGGTTTCTCTGTAAGGTGTGCTGCTACCTCATTGCTTTCTTGCTTTTGGCAGTGCTGTTGAGATGGGAGTAGAAATGAAAAAATTAAGGAGAAGAAAAGATTTCCATTAGTATGAAGTGCATCCAAAAGGATTCAGTCAATAAGGGGCTGTTGGGAGTGATTCATGTGTCAATCATGAGAGTTGTTAGGGACCTTAGTGAAATTCTTTCTGCTGAGGAGCTGCCTGACTCTGAGGCTGCTGAAAGGGGATATGTCTCACCTACCCTAACAACTCCCTCATGTTTGAACTCACCTTGATTTCTCTCATTCTGGGACTCTTTTGTGGCTCCATTTTGTGTTTTATGGCACGTTGCCATCATGTTCTGCTGCTGGCGTGCCAAATGCTTTTTCTAACGCTGTTCAAAATATGCTCTTTAACCTTTCCTGTGTCCTTCTGTCAAGTGCCAGAAACACTGAAGCCTCCTTCTAGCCGACTGGTTTTCAATCCCACTTGTCTCCGCGCATCGCTGCAAACTTGGGTATCTGAGCAAATGTGTTTTCCTTGTCTGGACTCGTTAGTTTTTTGAACATCAGAAATCAGCACATTGCCTTCCTGTGCTGCCCTGTCCTGTCCGGAGGGATTTCTGCTCCACGAGCAGATATGTGGGGGTTGGACCTCTGGGCTTTCCTTTCAGGCCGACCGCGCGATCTGACGGCAGAATAACCTCCCCTACGTCACGCTGTCAGCTTTGATGACTTTTAAGTCAGGCACATCACTTGCAGTGGAACATGTCTCTGGAGTGGAGAGGAAGCCTCTTTTCAGGCTTTAACTCATGTTGGAGTGATAAGGGCAAAAGAAAGAAGATGTAAATAGTTCCCGCTGTGTTTTCTGAGAGTTGGCTTTTAGATCGTTAGGTTTGAATCCTAGAACAGTTTGGGTTGGAAGGGGCCTTAAAGCTCATCTTGTTACACTCCCTTCCATGGGCAGGGGTCTCCCTGCCCATGACCACTAGATCAGGTTACCCCAAGCCCTGTCCAGCCTGGCCTGGAACACTTCCAGGAGTGGAGCAGCCACAGCTTTTCTGAGCAAATTGTGCCAGTGCCTCACCACCCTCAGAGGGAAGAATTCCTTCCCAACATCCCATCTGTCCCTGCCCTCTGGCAGTGGGAAACCATTCCCCCTTGTCCTGTCCCTCCAGGGCCTTGTCCACATTTCCTCTCCAGCTCTCTTGGAGTCTCTTCCTAATATCCAAATCTACCTGCTCCAGCTTAAAGCCATTGACCTTTGTTGTTTTAATGCAGCTAATTGTAATTCTATTGGAGGTGGTGGTGGAGGAAATCTCAGACTTCAGTCCACACAGCTCCAGGCATCTCAGAGAATTATAGAATCATCCAGGCTGGAAGAGACCTTTAAGATCATCAAGTCTAACCACTAACCTCGCACTTCCCTGTAACCCCTAGACCTTGTAGCTTCTTAGCTGGGTGGTAGTTGTGGTGGGTTCTTGGCTTTCAGGGGTGCCAAAGGGGTGTACTTGTGCCTGGGAGCTGACCCTGGCTGATCTGGGTGGGTTTGATTTCAGTTGCAGTGACTCCTGGCAGCTCAGGGGACAGTGTGTAGAGAGGGGAAGTGACAGTGGCCAGGATTATGGCTGATTTTATGCAGTGACAGGTAGAGGCACAGTGAGGACAGACGAGCAGTAGCAGTGACCTTGTGCAGTGCCTGGTCTTGAGTTTTGCCCCGTTTAAAGATTCCATACAAAACTTGCAAGACAGTGACTTTTCCTCTTCCCCATCCCCTAAAAAAGAGATGAGATAGTCTCTAAATAACCTTCTCAGTGGCTCTAAAGGCCTTAAACTGCCAAGCTAATACCAAAAGCTGCTATAATAGTGCAGATAATGGCCCTGTTAGGTTTTATCTCCGGAACTTGGTCCCTATCAGGTGCTTCCCAGGCTGCTAAAAATACCCAGGCTGCAGGACAGTGAGCAGGGTATGGCAAAACCCTCTTTCTGGGAGGCAGGAGTGATGCCTTTGAAGTTTAGCTCTGAGATAAGCAGGTTTTTCAGCAAAGTGGATGGCCTAGAAGAGAGCTGGTGCAGGATAAATCTGCTCTCGGCAGCACCTGACAGCTCAGGTGGCTGGAATGCTCCTACTCAGCACCTGTGGCTTAGTCCTGAACAGGAGGCACCTAGTGATAGCTCCAGACAGGATGATCTGTACATATTAATATTAAATAAATCTGATGAAAAGAAACCCATTTGTATTTATATAACTCTGTAGTTTAAGCATGCAAGTCTATCCTGCATAAATAAAATATGTATGTAATTGCATAACTAAGTGCCTTTTAATATTTATGTATGATCTGTGTTATTTCTGTGTGTGTCCATAATTGGCTGCACTTAAAACCTGTAAAATATAAATAAATCTGGGATAGCATGGCTTGCATGAGTGGCTGCTGCATTTAAATCACCCCTGTTAACAGGGAGGGGCAGGAGATGCTTATCCCTGTGCCCACAGCCCTTCTGGTGTGTTTGGGTTTGCTGTTGTGAAATCAAAGGCTGTTCTGGAGCAGCATGAAGAGATATACCTCATCTGTCTCAAAGTTTTGCTTCTTAATTTCCCATTTCCTCTGTCATTTTTCATGTAAAGGTGTATGTGAAGTCCTGATGGATGATCCGGAGCTCTCCCTGACACTGTACAGTTGTTCTGTGGTTTCTAGGCTTTGTCCCATCGAATTTTAAATATTGGCTCAACACTTTTCTTCTGACTCTTTTTCTAACCTAAATAAATGTGTCTCTGTGTCTGTGTCCAGCCACTGCTGTCCCATGGCATGGATGGGGTTGAACCCCATTGGTTGTGGTTTGCAGTCCTCAGGACTAACAGCTTCACTCCTTGTTTCTTTTCCTTTCCTTTAAGCTGGAAAAGCTCAAAATAAGAGAGATGTACTGGTACATGGTTCTTCCCTCAGATGTCCTTACGTTCTTTGGAAGGTTTTGGGGCTTTTGGCCAGTTAGCAGAGAGGAACCTAAACATACCCTAAAAAAAATGAATCTTCATGGGATATATAATGATGAGAGAGTGTTGGAAGTTACAGCCTATTGTTATATGCTGCTATACAGCTGTGTATGCAGCTATACAGCTGCATACACTATATATAACATATAGTTATATGCAGCTATACAGCTTGGAAAATAATCAAACAATCAAAATTTCCCTCGTCTTGGCAGTTGATGGCATTGACTTAATTTCACCATCATTTAGTGGGTTGAAACTGCAGGTGCTGAGGGGGAAGATAAGCTCAAACTCTCTTTGTAAGTGCTGATTTGTGGGAAGTAGCCCATTCTTTTGCTGCATAGGTAGTGCTGTGAGGTGTTCTTTTTAGTCATTGCAGTTGTTTAGTGTTTGTCCATTCTCTGCCCCATCCTACCATGGCAATGTCTTGGGCAATACCAGATTTCTTGGTGTACCACAGCCAAATCCTTTCAAGGACAGGCCCATGTAGGACTTTGCACCCTGACTTTGGTATAAACAAGATGCAGAAGGAGGGCTTGGCATCCAGGACATCCATGGCACAGAAAGTGGGATGTGTGAGAGGAGGACAGGTATGTGGGTCTGAAGTTCCAACTGTGTGTGACTGTATCCCACTTCAATCCTGCTGTGAGGCAGAGATTTTTTAAGACTTAGCATTTTATTGTTAATTGATTTTAATATTTTAACATTTTCATTATATTATCATTATCATTTTAAATTAAATAAACCAGAACTTCCTGCGTGTTGTCTCTGTTTCTGAAAACATTTGTTCATCAAAAGTAGCATTAAAAAAGTAATGTGGGTGCTTGAGCAATTAGAATCACAGAATGTTAAGGTGTTGGAATGGAGCTTAGAGATCATCCAGCCCCAACCCTTGCCCTGGGCAGGGACACCTCCCACCAGAGCAGGTTGCTCAAGGCTCATCCAACCTGGCTGTGAACACTGCCAGGGTTGGG